TAGCTCAATATGTCGATTTTAGATCGCGTCCTTGAGATGGATTATCTTAAGGCGCACCTTAGGAGCACTTTTCAATAAATATTAATATATATATATATATATATATATATATATTATATATATAATATATTTATATATATATATATATATATATTCAAAACAATTTTTTGTTTCTTTAATTTAATTTCTTCAGACATTGCAGAGAGAATGAAGAAGAGAATGAACTTATAGACCTATTTAGTTTGCTAACTCATCCTGCTCTTGTTACGAGAGTTCATATAATTCTTTTAATTTAATTTATATACTAAAGCCGTTGTTTGACTATGTTCCTATAAAAGATCACATTTTCCAACTTAAAGTTAATATTCAATTAATTAGTCTTATGTCCCATGTATTAAAAATCTTAGTCATAACTAAATGAGAAGAATGAAATACTAGGTACATAAATATACACGGCTATGATCAATCTCAAAATTGCTGAGGAAATTCTAGAAGGAAATAAATATGATGGGATCCTACAAGATCTTGAAGCTGCTTGATTCATCGATCACAAGGATCAAATGGTAGAAATAATGTGTGTAACAAAGCTAGCTACCACTGCTAGAAAATGGGTTATTGGCTACGGACATTTAGCGACGGAATATTCCGTCGCTATAACATGATTTATAGCGACGGAATTTCCGTCGCTATATGTCCGTAGGAAAATGATGTTTTAGCAACGGAAAATGTTGTTTTAGCGACTGAACTTTTCCGTCGCTAAAATATTACCGACAAACTTCATTTCCGTCGGTAAAGAATCATTTAGCGACGGAAATTCCGTCGCTAAAATTACTTTTAACGACGGAATAATCCGTCGCTAAAAGTTTTGGGTGGGAAAAAAATTTCGGGCGCGGGCGCCCAAAATTTTTGGGCAGCCCGTGCCCGAATTTACTGAGAGAGGCTTATTAGCCTCTCTCAGACCCGCAAACTCCCCCTCTCTTTCCCCCCCTCTCTCTCCCAGATCCTCGCCCCCCGCTCTCTAGACCCGCGCCCCCATCTCGCCGGCGCGTTGGGTGGAGCTCAGGCCCGTCACGCCCCCCCTCTTCCCCTCTCTCCCTCCGACCGGCCCCCCGCTCGCGTCGCCGCCGCGCGCGTTGGTGGATGCCGCGCACCACCGTCGCCGCGTCGATCTCCCCCCCCCCTCTCTCTCCAAGTACCCCTCCCGTCGCCCCTCAATCTTATAGTTGGTATGATTTAGATTTTGCAAAACCAAATAATTAACTGAAATCAGAAACCTCTATAAAAAAATTAAGGATTATAGTGATATAATGTATAAAGTTAGATTTCTTGCAAAAGCCAAAAAGATTAGTGGAAAAACAAGCAACCTAATAAAAAGATATTCATATGTTCAAATGTACTGATATAAAAAAAATTAAGCATTAGGGGTAGGGTTAGGGTTAGGTTAGGGAGCGGGCGGGGGGGGGGCGGTACGGGGGGGTCGGGGGGGTGAAGCCGTGGAGGTGAGGGTATAGGTTAGTTGTTAGGAGTGAGGTGTGAGCGTAGGGGTGAGTAAGGTTGGAGGCGTGAGGTTAGGTAGGGGAGCATTAGTGAGGCGGACGGTGATGTGGGGTGATGTGAGGTTGAGGGGTAGCGGGTGTAGGTGTCTGGATGTAGGGGATTATGGTTAGGGTTAGGGTTAGGGGGTGAAAAGTCCTTTTAGCGACGGAAAACTGACACGCCAGACATGCACTAATACAACTTTTGGCGACGAAAAATCCGTCGCCAATATATATAGCGACGGGAAATATATAGCGACGGATATTTCCGTCGCCAAAAAGTATAGAATTTGGCGACGGATTTTCCGTCGCTATATAACCGTCGGTAATATTTAGCGACGGATATTCCGTCGCTAAATGTCGCTTTACCTACCCTTATAATAGTGACGGCTTTTTAGCGACGGAATTCCTTTTTTTCCGTCGCTAAAACATTTAGCGACGGATTTTTGACTTTTGGCGACGGATTTGTCCGTCGCCAATAGTCCCCTTTGCAGTAGTGTACACTCTGGGGTGTACGTAACTTTCTTTTAACATTTTATGTGTTTCTTTGCATGTAAGTAGTTATAAAAATAAAATGTAAGAAAGTTATCGTATATGCTTTAATGCAATTTTGACTTCCCCTAAAAAATGGTGAAGTCACATGAAAGTCGCAAAAATGGTAATAAATTTTAATTAAATAATTTTAACTATGTTTACTAATTAATCTAATTTAACCACGTCATCTTCATATTGCACTCTCAACAATAAATTTGTTTTTTTAACAAACATTGTATTCCACTTGCATGCTGACGTGGATGTAAAAATTATTTACAAAAGAAAGTAACTAACACAATTTCAAATCACTTTCGAATGGCCAAACACCCCCAGGTGTATTGTAACCGAAGCTGATGGTTACGAGGTGACAGCTCATTTAGCAAAATGAGCTACTAAGAGATAGAGGAGGTGAGACCCACACCTTTTGGAGTGGTAAGTAGGGTGGGTCTCGCCATGTGGTTATCTCTTGATACATTATTTAGCGAAACGAGCCGCCATCTCATACCCATTTTTCCCGTATATATACACACACGCACTCAACGCCTTACATGTATTCACACACAAGTCTCTCATACCCATTTTCCTCCGTATATACACACGCACTCATCACCTTACTCGCTGTCGAGGGAAGTAATCTTGAGAACCAACCCAGGGTAAACATCGTCATCATGTTGAATGAAAGTATTCTCTTCCAAAATGAAAGGATCGTTGCACTTGTCACTTACACTGTGAAGTGTCTCTCCCTCCCGGACGACGTAAATCTCTTCGCAAGGCCGACGATCGACCCCTCGATGATGCTCGTACCTCGATACCCCGCCTTCGTTTGATCCGCAATGGCTCGTCAAGAGTAAGAACGCGAAGAAGAGAGCGCAGTACCAAGAGAGCCTCTCTGCTGACTCGATCAGGTTCGTCGACGAAAACCGAGCCATGCAAAAGAAGATCGAAGGCCTGAACCAGAGGATTTTGGTCTGCGGGTGTGAGGCTTATTAAGGGCTTGGCGTGCAGGTTGGTGTTGGCTGCTCAACAGTTGGGAGTTCTTATTCTCGGTGGGTGGGAGTTGTTGTTGCAAGTGTACGTTTGGGGAGAAGTTAAGATGGCAACTTCAAGTAGTAGGTAAACACAAAAGATGACGAGATCGATGATCTCCAATCAAGAAAAATTATCAGAATTAATGCTTGATAATTTGTAGCTAGGTAGTGATATTTTGTTTAACGCTGTGATCCAATGAAAGGAAAGATTCA